AATAAATAATCATATCATCTATATAATAATAAAAAGTAATTTTTTTCTGCATATGCCATGATTAAATTTTAAAAACGAATATAAATTGTCAATCTATGAAGAAAAAAATATAACGGGTCAAAAATTTAGACTTGAGTAATATATTTCTTTGGGGCTTTTGCAAAAATGCCACTTATTCAATGCCACTTTTCAAAAATACCCATTTTTTAAAACCTTATAAAAAATACTCTTAAAAATATAAGATTTACCCAAATATGTATGTAATATTATTAAAACATACACAAACTACATTTCTATGTATCTAAAATCTTATAAATACTTTATAAATACCTTATAAATGCATTTAAAATACCTTTAAAAACCTTAAAATATTTTGTAAAACCTTTGAAAAACCTTAAAAATCCTTTAAAATAACTTGTAAAACCTTTAAAAACACCTTATAAAACCTTATAAATACTTGTATCGAGTCTTCAAGTAGTAGTTACAATCCATAAGTACCTTATAAACCTAATAAAACTTAATAAAAATTTCAGATTTAAAAGGGGGCATTTTTGAAAAGGGGCACACCAAAAGGGGTATTTTTAACAATTTCCCTTCTTTTAAACACTAATAAATTCAACAAAAATTCTAACGAGTCAGAATTTGAGTATTTATATTCAATTTCATATTTTTTTTGAAATATATAATTTTATATACTACAATGAAATTTTAAATATTTTAATTTGGAACATTGAAAATAGTTTTATTTGATATTTTCAAAGAATATCATCAATAATTAATAGATCAAAATTTTAAAATTTATAAATACTCTCATTTAGTTTTTAAAAACAAATATATTTAAAAAATATTTATAATAGGCAACATGTTAAATATAATGTGTTATATGATGACATGAGTTATGATCCTTATAACTATTTGACATGAGTAATGATCATATAGTTTTATTTTTGAAATTCAGAATTTTATATACGACAATAAAAAAATTTTAAAATATTTTAAATTGGAATATTCAAAAACAGTTTAATTTAATATTTTAAATAATATCATAAATATTTAATAAATCAAAAAGATAAAAGTTATAAATACTCTATTTTGATTTTTTTAAAACAGATATATTTAAAATATTTATAGCACACAATGGGTTAAATACTTAAATATAATGTATTATATGATAAAAAATGTTATGATCCTTATAACAGACGACATGTTAAGATTATATGATGAGATGGTTAAATAAGGTTTGATACTTCTAAATATTTGAAATTTGATTCTACAAATAATTTTGAAAATAAAGAATGATGGATTGTGAACGGAATTTTTTTTATTGAGATTCTAAAATGAAAATATACTTCACGCTCGGGTTGAATTTGATATTATTATATACTAAAAATATGTTAATAATATATTCGATTATGCGAATAATTGCTAAATTGCGTAATTAGCTCAAAAAACTCTATTGCAACAACCAAAAAATTACAAATTGAAAAATGAACTTCCTAAATTAATTCAAAATCATAGTTAACTTCCTTAATTAACTCAAAATAATCTACGTTTTACATGAGACTCATTTATGATATTTTGATTTTTGATCTAACTGAATTATATATGCAATCTCATTTTGTGGTTGTTAACATAAATTAACTCATTTTCAAATAATATTAATTTTCTTAAAATAATATTACTTTCCGTTTTCATATCTTAAGAAAAATTATCCATGATTGAGTATTATATAAAAAGGAAAATATATTTATTATAAAAATTATATATATGTACTTAAAAAAGAAATATCTTTTTCATTTACTACAATAATATATCAAAACTTTATTGTAAAATATATAATATATAAAATATTGTACTAAACAAAATTAACCCGTACTATAGTATGGGCCATGATCTAGTTAAGATAACAAAACGTCAAGCATAACACGATAATTAAATTAAAGAGTATTTTTCAAATCACCCAGCTTTCCAGTCGAATTTGTGTGACCGTCGAATATTGATAATAATATTTTAATAAAAATATACTCTTTTATCACTAATCTAATATTTTGGGGGTATCGTATTCAATTATATAAGTTAAAACATATATAAAAATTAGTATAGGTATATTATTGAAGATATGAATTTAGGTCATATAGTATGGAATGACTTATATTTGATTTAGTTGTATTATAAAAAAATTAAAGCATTGGATGGAGATGAAATTCGAAATATTAAATTTGTTAGTAATATAGAAATTTAAAATATCAAAATTTGGTAACTTTACATATTAGAAAATATTTAAATTTACATATTACAATGAGTTTGGCAAATATAATAGTAGAGTTAAATATATAAAAATAAAATAATTAAAAAAAATAGTGAGCATGCCACATAGACACTAGAAACTTTTTTTAATAGGATTAATATTTTTTCTGTTTAAAAAATCTTAAGAATGTCTAATGAATGAAGATGCTTTTACCGTCTCATCTTCTTATTCATCTGATTTGGAAACCATTTCTCTTTCACTTTCACTTTAGCTATAGCTATGACTTAAAAATAGTGATTAAAACTCTATATAGGCATGGCAGATAAATATAGGCATGGCAGATAGTAGAAATTATTGTGATTGACCAAAAAGGTTAGAGATTAATTACTATACAAACGAATCCTTTCAAATTACCAAGAGAAGGAAACAAAATGACAACAACGTCAAATGATTAAACTTAGATATTCTAATTCACGTATTCATGAAAATTCCAAGCCCAACTTATTACGTTTTTTTTTTCTTCAATTAGTTGGATAATTTGTGAAGCTGCAGTATTGCCAATAAAATATAGTAGTTTTTTGCTTGGTAGATCTATCAGAATAAAAAATGTTTCCAACTATAGACGATTCTAATTTTATCACCAATTCAACAATTTTAGTAAAGAGAGCCTTAATTTGACAAAAAAAAAAAAAAAAAAAAAAGAAAGTAAAAGGAGCCTTAATAGCATAACTGCAAATAAATCCTTCAAAATAGAGGGGAAAGAATCCAACAAGGACGATCCAAATAACTTATCTTTACAAGTTTTGTACAATTGTTTTTCATTTTATGTTCCTCACACCATTTTAGAATACAACAATTAAAAAGTTAAAAACTAAAAAAAGAAAAAAAGATTTTTTAATTGGGAAATTCACCATTCATAATTCTAATAGTGGCTTTGGTTCCTTGAGTGGGCATATTTACAACAACTAAGTTAAGCCGCATATTGTTTACAAATGTGAGTGCGTTATAGGCAGCTGTTGAGACTTGCTTTGCGTTTTGGTTGGAGACTGCAAGTATATCATCTCCTTATGGCATGTATAGTCTCTTATAACTAGGCTCTAATTGGTAACCAATTTTGAGGAAAAGAATGAGTAGGAATATCATATTCTTTTTGTTCCTCATTTTTTTTTACCATTTATAAGGAATTCTTGTTCCATTTTCAGACATGTGGGTCCTACATTTTTCCTCTTCATTCCTCAAAATAAAAAGAATGATAGAACAAAATTGTTCCTCCCCAAAATTGTAGAGGAACAACAAGGAATAAAAATTCAAAATTCGTTTTTAATTTTTAAATAATTTTAAAATAGCTTTTTTGATAATATTTACATTTCTATACATAAATAATTCCTATATTTTTATTATATATTTATGTATAAATAAACTTTTATCAAAAATTTAATTTAAATGAATGTTATGACTTTGTTTTAAATTAGTATTTATAAAATAAATAAATAAATGTTTTCAAGTTAAATTTATATTATTTTAAAATAAAATATTTGACTATATTTCGTTTTAAATTTATATAAAACATTAATTTTGAATAAAATTTATAAACTAAATAATATATATAATTTTTAATAATTATTATGTTAAGTATTTGTTCAATTTTTTGGTTACCATTTACCATAATCATTTGTTCAATTCTTATGTTCCTTTTGGTTCCTTGTTTTGATCATTTTCTTTTCCTTTTTGTTCCTTTTCATTCTTTTTTTTTTTTTCTTGTTCCTATTGTTCTTTTTTTTTTTGTCACCAATCGGAGCCCTAATCTGATCAACACATATATGATGGTAACTTGCGTATCTACTTTCATATGAGTGTACATGAGAATAAGAATCCACATGATTATATTCAAACCAGTCCATAAATTAGATTTTCAGAGTTCCCAAAATCTGAGAAAATGAGTATTTCAGAAGTTTACATAACCATCTTCTTGTATCTGATTCTTTTTATAGGAAAATGTTGGTTCCCTTGCCTTCACCATTAGGTCTTGTTTGACTGGGAAAACTTTACCTATTGTTGACATCGTGTTACTTTGTTTCCATGGGAAACTTAGTCAAAGCAATCGATGGTTTCGATGGATTGGCGGGAGGTATTGCTGCATTGGCTTTCGTTGCAATGGTAGTTGCAGTTCTTCCTATTTCCTCTGGTGAGTCCCTAACTATTATACCAAATCATTTACTTTCACCTTTATAAGATTCACAAATCTACAAAGTATTGCATTCCAAGTGAAGATAGTGTGTG